TGAATTAAGATATCGATTTGTTCTACAGACTTGTGATTTTAACATTTAACCCGAGGGTAGCCAAGCAAAAGATGCATTTAGTGGGTGGGAACTATCTATTAAAATACTCTTTACTTTATCAATAATTTTAATCTCACAGATATCATCTAGTTGTCTATTTTGTTGTAGAATTTTTCCAGCCTGATTTATGATGTTGTAGTCTGTTATAATTGTGTTTCCTTAAATTACCAAACCGTACAAAACTTCCAAACAAAAGAGCACTTTCAATAAAAGAAGAATAAAAAAGGGTCATTATACATGTATCAACATTGAATGACCGCAATTTCCTTAAGAATGGAGTCGCGTCATACCCTTCTTCTTAACAATTTTATCACACTGCTCCCCCAGTTTAACTTATTATCAATCTCTAAACCTAGGTATTTATGATGAGTAACGATCTCATTCTCAACATTGTCAACAACAAGTGATACAACATTATTTTCTCCTTTCCTATAGTCAATTATAAGTTCTCTTGTTTTTTGTCCATTCAGTTTTAAACAGTTTTGTTTACAACACAATGAGAAGTTCGCGACAGTATTCACATAGTTAGAAACAGAGTTTGATTTCATGAGACCTATGATAACTGTGTCATCTGCGTATTTCAATATCTTAACATTTTAATTTTTTGATCTGCAGTCATCAGTATAAATAATGAATAGTAGTAAACCACACACCCCTGAAGCTGTCTCTTATACACATCTAGATGTGTATAAGAGACAGTGCCTACACTCTTCAACTTTAACAGAAATATAGGCCTCTATGTGAAACAGGTAAAGCATAGACCTAAATGGTTCATGTGTTTTACTAAACAAGAGAAGAAAAATCATCATTATCACAGCCATCTTAAAGAGCGGAGATTAACCATATCGTAAAGTGTACTAAGAAAAATAATTGTTGTATTTTACCGAAAATCGCTGGTAGATCATGAGAATTTGTTGTTGGCGCTTCATTTTGACTATATAATGGTGATGTGATGATGATGGATTTTACTATATAAAAGTGTTATTTCCCGAAATGTCCCCCACCTTTCAAATCAGATCTGCGCCCTTGCACGCACCCCCTACCGCCACATCCTGCGTCCGACCCAGATAACCAATGACAATTTTAAAGAAGCCTTGGTTTTGGGGTCTGAAAAAGTTCCAGCAAAACTTATATTTTGTACCCTGTTGCTTAGGAAATCTTGGATCCACATAATAATAATAATAGGATTTACATTTAAGCTAAGTAATTTCTTTAACAGCAGAGAAGGTACCATAGTTTTAAATGCTGAGCTGAATCCGCCAACATTGCTCGTGCATAGTTCCCGGCTCGTTCAGTATGTTGTTGTATTAATTGTACTAAAGTCAGAACAGCATCATCGACTGATTTTTTAGTTTGGTAGGCAAACTGATATGGATCAATTTTGGGTCTCATTGGTTCCATGAGAAGCTTGGAAATTAGATGTTCAAAAGATTTCATAACCACAGAGGTTAATACGAGACGGTACGGTAATCATTTAATATAGGTCGCGATTTCTTTGGAACAGGGACAATTATTGTCGATGTTTTCCAGGGAGTACCGGTAGGTATAGTGTGTGAGTCGATGGATTTTTTTTAACAGTTTATGTGTGTTTGTTAAACATCTCTTTCACCTTACATACATTATTGTAAATTATTTTATTGTAAACATTTAGTCATTTAGCTTACACTTGTTCTTTTTATCTGCTTTGTTGCTTTTGATGTTTATATATGATGTGATTTGTGCTTTACTGTTTTTTCTTTTCAATTGTATCTTTTTACCCCTTTTAACATTTTATTGTTGTGCTCAATTGATTTTATCTAAAAAAATTATCGCAATTCAGTTTTTCTGTGAAGATGATTTTATTAATAAATATACCATTAGGCCAAAAACAATTTTTTGTGTTGGCCACGTTTTGGGAAAATCCAAAAAAATGGGTAGGTCGGTGGGAAAACTACTATCTAGGACAATCTTATACCAATATTCCAGCCTTATAAGCTCATGAAAAAAAAAGTATTGTTCCTTGTAGTCAGAAAAAAAAAGAAGCTAAAATGACGACCCTGAATTTCGTAAAATTTGGGTCGGTCGGACGTGGCCAACACAATAATTTTTTATTTTTTTAATAGACATATTGTTAGAGTTAAACATTTAATAGATATTAATATAATATTGTTACTATATTTTTATTGTTGATCATAGCTATCGAATTGTTGTAAAATCATTTCATTATTTCTAATTATAGGCCTATTGTGTGAATGGAATTTTTAGGCGAGTGGTACTGGTGATTGGAAGTTCAATCGGATAATAGTCTCAATCAATCAATTTAAAACATGATATAGGAGCCCCTTCAACAATACTTACAAATGTAGAAAAAAAATACCGGTAAATACCGGTACCAGTCTCAAAGCTTGAATTGTTGATTCATAGACAAATAAATGACAAAATAGTATCATATAGAAGGCGTACTTTAATAAGGCCATGTAAAAGAAAAGAGTTGTACAGGAACTGCATGCTCTTATTTATTCTTAATTAAACATTTCTTGGTACCCAGACACCAACTTGTCTTTCCATTAAAATATTATTAACATTGCTACTAATATTATTGTCATTCAATATGCAAAACGCTGTACACAAAACAGTGCATTGGCTAATATTTTTACGTGCAAGTCATATATAACACAAATTATTGTAGAAAAAATTGCATTAAAATCACTATTTATTTTGTAGTGGTCTTTACTTGGAGTGGAAATTTTCAGTTAGGTCCACTAAAACTATGGTCTGTAACAGAGAAAATCATTAATTGACAGCTAATGATAAAAGATAGCCATCCAACGGGGGCCGCAGAAATATGGTCTTTAATTGGAGGTGGTCTTTAATTGGGAGGATTTTTAATTGGAGGGAGAGAACTGTACTTATTTTAATGAATATACACTAATACCTACGGTATATTATGTGGATGTATTATTAATGTTCGTATCACATTGTCTTTTTAATGTTGTAGGCTTATATACTGTATATTTTTTAATCCACCGTGCGCTTGTTTTCGTATTGCCATGTACATCTCAACTTTATTGATAATTCTTAATTTTAATATTTAAGATTTATTTTAAAAATGTTTAGAGGTATACATATAAAACAGTATATGCTGGCATTATAAAATGCTGGAAATAATTGTGTGCATTGACATAGTGTGCTGATTTTTAATAAAAAATTTATTTATATTTATTAAGTTATAATACTTCTTATTTGGATACACTTTTGCAACAGTGGCACTCATTATGTCCATGAATTAATAACTGAAACAAAACATACAATGTCGATAAAACTAAAAATAATACTACTAAATAATAATAATATATACATTTACTACTTATGTACAAAAACAGAATAAAATAGTTAATAGTATTTACTCTTCCAAAAGACTTGCGCTGTACCTTGCCCCCATTTCGACAAAGTACAGAGTTTCCTTCGCAATAAAGCAATTACTAACTAGGAATTCTGTTGCGGATCCCAAGTTAGTTAATTAGATATTCATTACGGTATACTAGCATCTGATTGGCTAATTAATATCTATCTTGCGTGAAATCAAGCGTTCAATGCACAAAATGCCTTTTCTTGGAGTATTTGTAGTGAAATTTCGGTAGATAATGCCCAATTTCAAAATAAAATTTCATATTTCCAGACATATTTTTGAAAATTTTATGAGCTAATGTGATAGATTAGACATCCAGGATTCACATAAGCCAAAAATCTCAATTTTGAAAAAAATGTACTTAATGCCTTTTCTCAGAGGAGGGCAGTATTATAGGCCTATTGATTTTGTGTTCGCATGTACAAATGAATTACCGGAGGTTTTTGAAAGGTTTAAATTAAAAGATTTATTGAGTATATTTTCATAATTGATTTTGCTTTAATGATATTCTCGCATACCGTTGTAAGGCCAATCTTGATGTGCTGTTGATAGATAACAAGTTGTATCCGTTCTGTTAACTCGGAAAGGAAATCGTAAATTGTGTACATGAACACAAACCGCCTTTTTCCCTCCAAGGGGGTACCGCACTACCCGGCGCATCCTTGTAAGTGGTTTTGGGTCATGACTGGATGTTACACAGGCCATCTTCTTGCTGCTAAGCCTCGCCCTATATAATAATACCTGTTTCTGCTGGGGTCTCACGTCGAAGTTGAGTAAATCTGTAAAATGTATTATGGTTATACCATCGAGATGTAATAATAATAATAATAATAATAATAATAATAATAATAATAATAATAATAATAATAATAATACTAAATATAATAATAATAATATTAATAAAAATAATAATAAATATAATAATAATAATAATAATAATAATAATAATAATAATAATAATAATAATAATAATAATAATAATAATAATAATAGATTTACATCTCCCTGGTTATACAGTATCTGTTTAAAAAAAGGCTTCATTCATGCATTTATTTATTCATTCTTTGTTCAGCCAAATACACAAATTTACAAAACAGTTGAAAATAAATTACCGTACTGTACAATAATGCAACTAAGTTGGCTGAGGTTGATAGCAGTGTTAGGTTATACTGTGCTTTCAGGCCTAATCCATTGACTACTACAAGACACAAATAGGCCCGTGAGTTTTGTGTGTATACTGTATAATAATTATGTATAATAATTATCCGATTCGAAAGCAAGAAATAATTCATGTTGCCTTGCTTTTAGTTTCACATATTTTCAACTGATAAATAGAGCGCTCCATATATAAATTAAAATTTGTGCTTGTTGTATAATGGATAATAATAACATAAGTTGACAAAAAATTATTGCCGTGCATACTAATGAAATGAATATACAAGGAATGGAACCAATATTGATATTAACCTTATTGTAACAAACATAAAAGAACGATGTACAGTATTAACATATATTTCATTAGCATAATACAACTTCAGTAGCTTACCAATGAGGTCATGTCTGTGTTTGTTTTTTGCCGTGTCGAGGTCATAGCAAATACTGCGGTCTATCGTTCTGCTTCAGTGAGCCCAGTTATCGAACGAAGTGAGTGAGAGTAGAAAATCAGCTGCAACCAAAATGGCAACGCTCGTAGTACCATTTCTTCTTTTTCTTCTTAGTTTCGAGAGCACAGCAAATGTAATCAATCAACCTGAAGACATAACTGCTGAAGTCGGTGATACCGTGATACTTAGATGTACAGTTGAAACAGGTTCAAAAGTGAACGTTTACTGGCAAACGGTAACCGGCGACTCCGTCAACTATTTAACAGACAACACACGCATTTATCCCGGTACCGATGCTAATAGTATAAACGAAAGAATCGAAGTCGTTGGTGATGCTAAATCAGGAGTATTCAATTTGAAGATAAAACCTATTATTGGTAGTGATTCTGGAAAATTCTTATGTTTGTATTTCGTCGATGGAATTCATCAGACATCTTCACGGGTCGCTACTCTTACGGTACTTTCTCCACCTTTTGAAGAGTACCCGATTTGTTCTTTGACTCCAAAGAATGACATAAAAATCGGTGACTTTGTACGAATGACATGCGTTACATCAGGCGGAATACCACCCGCTAAAATTTATTGGAAACGATTTGAAGAAATATTGCCCGCATACCGTCTCGAACAAGACGGGCGGACTTATATTTCATATGAATTTACTTTATCAGAATTGGATAATGGTGCCGTGTTTACTTGTGATGCCGAGTCTCCTGCCATCAAAACACCGAGGTTCTGCAGTGTTAGACCTTACCGAAGTGAGACTTCCGTCCGAATTCAATCCAGATCAACACCATTAGTGGATGGTAAAGATGGTGTATTTGATTGCATAGCGTCTGCAATCCCCACGGCTGACGTCTTTGAATGGCGATTGAATAATCTACCTCTGGATAATGATAGATATAAATTGGAAAATGATAACCAAACTTTACGCATATCACCTTTGGGTAGTTCTGATAATGACAATGTGATTTCGTGCACTGCAGGTAACACCTATGTTGTAGTAACCGGTAATGCGTCAATTAGTTTGTCTTTAACAAAAATAGCCGCGGTAGACGGCCCTGAGATTGTCGGTATATCTGTCGGCATTATTGTAGGGATTATTCTAGCAATTGTCATGGTAATATTTTTACTTAAATACAAGAGGAAACGAGACTTCTTTAAGGATTTAGATTTTAATAAAGCTTGCAGAAATAGTTACGTGTTTCCACGTCAATTTTTCTCAAGAAGGTCTGCTAATGAAGTCTATGAAGTTGAGCGGGAGAATGATCGACCCGATAGTATAGTAATTGTCTGCTCGACACCACAAGAAGCAATTAATATCCACAGCAATCAACAACACAGAATCCCCCAGAATGATGATGAAGCACGTAACCCTAGGTATTCTGTTGGATTTTACATGTCAAATTGCCCTACAAATAATGAACGAACGAAAAGTGAATCAGAACGAATTTATAATGACGTGGAAGAAGAAGACGAGGACGAGACTCAAGCAACCAGTGAAGCAATATATTCAAATATAGATGAAGTCGACAAAAACGAACAGCGGAGAGGAGACCCTTCTACACCTCCTAAGCCCCCACCTCAATCATTGAAGCCACGTATAAGCGGACCTATACTAAATTACAGCACCAACAACAGTGTAGACTTGGCTAACGCTATCTTTGTGGGTATCATTGATCAGCCGTATTAAGCATGATTTTGAGTACAGTATTTTACTGTTTTATGAAGGCAATATAATATACACCACATGTCTGGCCTCACCCATAATTTCTACTGCAATTGAATGTTGGATGTACAACCGGGGTATTTTGTACGTAAATACAACATACTAGACTTCACGGTCGGCCACACCCGTAATCTAATTAATACTGTACTAAAATCGATTTGAATCGCAGAGGAGGCAAATATTATGTGCTATAAAGAATACAATTATTATTGGTAGTACTCGTCACAGTCTCTGTATAGCCTGCATAACGTAAAAACTTGTGTGACAAATATGTAAAACATGTATTCAACTCAGTCCTCATCCAACTCATTTTTTATGAAATTTTGTTTACTAAGTGTTTAAATTATTTATAAAGAGAAGTCTCAGACTCGAATTGCTGCAGATAAAATTTAGGATTCGTAAAAGTGGAAAATATATTGTTCTGAATGAATGTACAAAGGGTATGCTTGAAAAAAGACTGTTGCTCACATCGTAAATGTTGGATATGGAAAACGATAGGCCTCAGAGATAGGACAATGACGCGATTGGAAAGTGCTGTGTATATTATTCCGGTGACATATTAATTACCCTGGCAGTCGTTGAAAGGTCATGATTAAAGAAGCAGGTACAGAGCGTATATTATGCATAGAAAAGAGTAAACATCTTCATGTATAGTAATAAGGAAAAGAAGATTAATGTTATCTATTTTTTCATAGATTATATATTTGTAATAAGTGCCCTCTTAACATGAGTATTTTCATTGTATATCATTTGCGTTTCAACTGCGAAACATACTTAAGTGATGTTTAGCAAAACAAAATGTTGATATTATTGTTATTGTATAATATCATTAGGGGTTGTTGCCCTACTTTGTATATTTTCTCACGCCAAAGTAATCATCACATCATGTTTGCATTTTACATAATTTGAGCTGATTTTTTTAAGCAATAAGTTTATGCACATTCCATTTGTATAGAACACTCATTATAGGCCTATGTGTAGGCCTATACTTTGATTTGATCTTGTAGCATGTGAGCCACTAATCAAGGTTTATAAAGTAAGGAATATTGTTGATTTAGATTCTAGGTGCTGGTCATGATAGAAATCGACAGTTATTTAGTAGGAAATATAAATCAATGTTAAATATCGGTAAACAAAATAACCTGTCCAACACTCCCCTCCCCCTCCACGTTCAATTTTGGTGCTACTGTAGCTTGGTGGTTAAGATGCTTTGTCTTTCAATCTCAAGGTCCTGGGAGACACCAAAAGCAACTCCATTATAAAAGCCTCATAAAGCTAATTAGTTTATAGAACATGATTCCATCCTGCAATTTGCGAGGTGTACTATTACAAAATAAAATATGTATAAATATACAGTACCGTACTGTGTATATATATATTTAGTATATATATATATATATATATATATATATATATACTCTCTTATATATATAT